GAGCGCTCCAGCAACCCACGGCGCGTTCCAGCGCGAGCCTTCAAGAAGACCTCGAGCAGAAGGCAAGGGTCTGACATCGCCGTCGCTGCAGTCACCGTCGCCGCCGTGGTCGTCGCCGTCGCCGTCGCCGCTTTGGTCGTCGCCGTCGCCGCCCTCGCCAGCCTCGCTGTCGCCAGCGCCGTCGCCGTCGCCACAGCCATAGCCAGCGTCGCCTCCAACATCGCTGTCGTCGCCGCCACGGTCGACGTCGTCGTCGTCGTCGCTATGGACGTCGTCGTCTTCGTCGCCGCGGAAACCGTCGTCAGAGCCTTCGCTGCCGTCGCCATCGTCGAAAATAGAAAACGGAAAATCCACACCCCGTAATATATCAGCCCGACACGCGAAGCCGTTCAGTAAACGCACCCAAGGAAGAAATCCAACAGGGCAAGGCTTTGAGTAAACGCCCAGAGCCGTTGAGCAAACGCCAATTGTCCGGTCCAGGAGTTTGGTCCTCCCCTGAGAGATCGCCGTCGCCGCTGGCGTCGTCGCCACCACCGATATCTCCACCGCCAACGCCATGGCCACCGCCGCGGACTGGCCATGGATCCCCACCAGCAAAACCAGAGTGAGGGAGCCGAACGGTAATTCACTGTGCCTGGGTGCCTGCCTGAAGTTGGTTTTCGCGGTGCGGATTGTTAGTGGTGTTGTTGTTGGTGTTTGTGTTGGTGTTGGTGTTGTTGTGGATGTGGTTGTTGTCGTTGCTGCTACTGTTGTTGTCAGTGGTGGTGTTGGCCTTGTTGTTGGTGCTGATGGTGTTGCTGTTGTTGTTGGTTGTGGTGATGTTGTTGTCGCTGGTGTCGATGTTCTTATTATTATTGTCGGCGTTGCTGTTGCTGCTGCTTTTGTGAATGCTGTTGTTGGTGATGTTGTTGTTGCTGTTGTCGTGTGTCTTGTTGGTTGTGTTGGTAGTGTTGGTGCTGTTGCTGGTGGCGATATTCGGTGTGTAGTTGCTGATGTTGCTGGTGGTGTTGGCGTTAGTGGTGGCGTTTGTTGTGTGGTATTTGGTGTTTGGTGCATGGTGTTCTTTGTTGGTGTTATTGAATTTGGTGTTGGTGGTAGTAGTGTTATCGTCTGTTGTCATGGACTTATTGTTTCCATGGGATTTGTATGGTTGATCCCCACTTCCGGGAACCATCGTATTTTTCAATTGAACTGCCCCCCTCGGGGCTCGCACCTTGTTTTTCTGTTGTCGGGAAAAGCTTTGTGTCACCAGCGGCTCCCGCCAGGTGTTCCGCCTGACGCTCCCTCGCAGGTTCGCGCTCTCGCGCAGGATTTCCGCCACAATGTATCCAGGAATCGCGCTTTCGCGTAAGAGATCCTCGCATTCTGACAATCGCAGCGCCATCGGAACTCAAGTATCACGCCCTCACTCTGGCCTTTCGCACGGTTTACTCGGGACTCGCGGTATCGCTCGAGCACTTTTGCGGTTCATGCAACACCCACGCTTCCGAAACGCGCCTGCTCGACCTGGTCGCCTGGGCTAACCTTCCCGAAGCTCCCAATTAGGGCCTGCCCGCCCGATGGGTCAGTCTGGTTCTGCCACGTGCTTTCTGCTCCCAACCTCCTGCGAATCCCGTGCTCCTCCTCCTCCTCCTCCTCCTCCTCCTCCCTCGCTCTCCCCCTCCTCCTCCTCCTCCTCCTCCTCCTCCTTCTCCTCCTCCTCCTCCTCCTCCTCCTCCTCCTCCTCCTCCCCATACCGTCCACTCCTCCCCTGTTGTCGGGGCTGCACCGATTACAACCGGCAGGCAAAAAAGTTATGCCCCCAGAAAAGGGCACGATGAACAATGCAGAGGGTGTGTACCGAGAGAGTGTTTGCCAGACGTGTTGAGTGGCACGCGAGCAGGTAAGAGCGAACAGGCTTACAATGATTGGTGCTGCTGTTCTTGAATTCCCACGTCTAACAAATAACTGTTGTTGACCCCCCATTCCGGTAACAATTGTACGTCTTCAATAACATGCTTCCCCCGGGGCTCGCACCCTGTTTTCATCTTTTACTCAGGGGATCGAAGGGTCACCAAACTGCTTTGTGGGGCCCCGAACTACAACATCAACAACGGCTGTCGCCTGATTGTTCCCCACAATTCATTCCCAAATCGCGCTCTCGCGCGGGACGTCCTCGCACGTTATACAAGAACCGCGCTCTCGCGTGGGACTTCCCCGCCATGTATTCAAGCGCCGCGCCGTCGACGCTCAAGATAACGCTCTCGTTGTGGATTCCCTGACGATTCACCTCGAAAACGCACTATCGCGCAAGATTTCATCGCGGTTCATGCAAGACGCACCCTTCAACAACCCGCCTGCTCGACCTTGCCTCCTGGGACAGCCTTCCCGGCCCGCCCGTGAGGGTCTACCCGCCCGATCTGCCCGTCTGGTTCTGCCACGTGCTTTCTGCTCCTAGCCCCCTCTCCTGCTACTCTCTCTCGTGCTCCGTCCTCCCCCCTCCCCCCATTGTCCCTTCCTTCCATCCGTTCTCTTTTCCCCTGCCGGATGGGCTGCGCGAAATATACGTTGCCCGTAAGAAAGATATACACCCCCAAAGGGGTACGATCAAAGACGAAAAGGGCGGATACCAAGAGTTCGGGATATACTTGTTCAGTGTCCCACGGACAGACCCGACCAGTCTTGAAATTAGTGCTGGTGTTGTTGTTTATGTGGCTGGTGCTGTTGGCTTCTGATGTTGTGGTTACTGTTGCACTGGTTGCTGCTGGTGTTGTTGTTGGTGGTGGTGGTCTTGTTGTTGGTGGTGTTACTGCCGTAGAATTCTCACTGCTAAAGAATATGTTTTGTAGATGCACCCCCCTCTGGCAACCAGTGTACTTAATGTTTCTCGCGGTTTCGCACCCTACTTATATAAGAAAAACGACGGGTAACGAAATTAGGACCCTGGCCCCCGATTTACAACAACAGTGGCTCCCGCCTGATATTTCCTCACGAATTATTCCCAAATCTCGCTCTCGCGCGGGAGTCCCTCACAATTGATTCGAGAAGCGCGCACTCGCGTGGGACTTCCTCGCCATTGCTTCAGACGCCGCGCCCTCGACACTCAGGAATCACGCTCTCGCTGTTGATTCCCTGGCGATTTACTCGGGGATCGCGTTATCGCTCGAGACTTCCTCGCGGTTCATGCAAGACGCAGCCTTCAGCAACCCGCCTGCTCGACCTGGCCGCCTGGGCCCGCCTTCCCGACCCGCCCGTTAAGATCTACCCGCCCGATCTGCCCGTCTGGTTCTGCCACGTGCTTTCTGCTCCTAGCCCCCTCTCCTGCTACTGTCTGTCGTGCTCCATCCTCCCCCTCTGCCCCCTTGTCCCTTCCTTCCATCCGTTCTCGTTTCCCCTGCCTTAAGGGCTGCACGAAATACACGTTGCAGATGAACAAAAACTGACGTGTGCATATCTATATATACATATATACACATATAAGCCTCCCAAGGGGACGAAAGATGACGAAGAGGGTGGGTACCGAGAGTTTGGGATATACGTGTGCTGAATGGCCCGCGAGCAGATGAGAGTGAACAATACCAAAATGACTACTTGTTGTCTTTGTCGTCGTCGTCCTTGTTGCTGTTGTAATGGTCCCACTCACGACCTGGCCCGCGACCCACCTGCGACCCTCCCGCGACCCACCCGCGACCCACCCGCGACCCATCCGCGATCCACGTGCGGTCCATCCACGACCGCGCGCGACCCACACGCGACTCACCTCGCGCCCGACCCCTCACCCTCATCCGCAACTGCGGGGAGCTGCATACTCTGCTGACTGTTGGGGACACGGAACCAAAGGAAAGGATCTGGGGCACCCAAGCGATGTGCTGCGCGTGGTGGGTCAGAGGGGATTCGCGGTCGCCGCACGGTTTTTGGACTCGGGTCGTTCTGTGAGGACTCCTCGGGCGATTGGGTCCTCCGAGGTCCCAGGACCCTGCGGTGACAGACCGCGCGGTGAGCTCTCTTTGGATTGCTAGGTCACCGCACAGTCCGTCACCACACGGCTTGTGTTGGAGGAGGCTGGGGGATCTAAACTCAATAAACCCGAAACCATATGTCAAGAAGAAGGAAAATGGAACATCATATCCAAAATCGGTCCTCGGACCCCTCCCAAGGGCCATCTGGTGTAGTTTCTGCCCCCCAATCCGTTTTGGGACAGCCCCGGGGCCCGAAAACGGACCCGCGAGACCAAGAAAGGTCCTCAAACCCAGAACTTCCAAACTCGCCCCCCCTTCCTGCCCGCGGGAACCAATGCGGGGGCCACCTCAGACCCCCGCTGGCTTCAAATATTGGGACCCCCCGGAAGGAGGAGGGATTTCCTCGGAGCTGCTGGGCACCCTCCAGTCGGCGGGGTCCTACCCGAGAAACGCCCGAGGAACGCCAGAGCTCCACGAGGGGACGGCACAGGGCCCCCTGACGCCTCGCCCTGCCCTCGTCGCAGACCGCCGCCGCCGCCCTGGTCAGCCGACCTTTGGAGCCCTAGAAGTTGGCACCAACACCAACACAAGGGGTTGTCTCCACAAGGGGGAGATGATCCTAGATTTCGGTGCTGGTGGTAATATTTCGGTCACCTTGGCAGCCAGAATATTACCACCATCACCGAGATCGGGATCGTCTTCCCTCGGTGGAGCACACACCGCCGATCTTGGTGTTGGTGTCAACCTCTAGGCCTGCAGACCTGGGGGCAGGGAGGGAGGCCAGAGGAGGGCAGCACGAGGCTGCGGAGAAAGCGGGGCAGTCCCGCCCCCCCCTTCGGGGACGCACCGACCCGGGTCGATGCAAACCCGGGTCGGTCAGACGCTGCACGATCCCGCGAGATCCCGCAAGATCCTGCAGGATCCTGCAGGACCCTCCGCACCCAAGCTCGGGTAAATTTGCACTCCTGGCTCTGCAGGATCCTGCAAGACCCGGCGCTCTGACTGACCCCCGTTCGCGTCGACCCCCGTCTCTTCAGCCCCGACCCCTGTGCCCCGAGGCGCCTCCGGCGCGGCCGCTTCAGCATCGGCCCGGGCTGCAGGTCGCAGCCCTGGGCGCGCGGCCACCGTCCGGTCCCTGCCCTCTCTGCTTGTTGTTTTCCATGGCGATACCCGTACACACTGCACGACTGTCAATCTGACGGAAGACGGAACAATGCAGGGCAACCGGGGAACGCCACGCGAGAAGGCAATGCCATGCCGAGGGATGGCGAAGGCGTGGCTCCCAGGTGCCAAGCCGGGCCACGCTGCCACAGCCGCATGCCCGACTCTTTTGGGGGGACAGCGCAGCCCACCCCCTCCCCCAGCCAGAAAACCTACACTTCCGACCTGGCGATCCAGGGGGTGGGGGGAAAGCTTTTGGGACTCTGGGAGGCCCCCCAAACAACAGCCTCACGCACAGCGAGGACCCCCTTTATCGACAGTTCGGGAGTGGGGATCATCCTGGCTGGGGTCCTGGCTACGTAGGTTGTGATGTCCTCAGCTTTTGCATGTGCCCACGGCCGAGGCGGTTCCGCGCCTCAAGCCCCTTCCTCGTGGGATGCTGACAGGGCTCGCGGAGCCGTCTCGTGCTGCCTAAGGCAGGTCCGCTGCTGCGCGAGCAAAAAAACACGCCATTCAAAATCCCCAGGGCGTAAGAGCCACGGCACTGAGCAGCCAAGGGGCCCGAGGGGGAAGGATAGGTAGGGACCAGCTCGGGGGGCGGCATCCAGCTTGCATCGGCAATGCTCCGCCGATGGATCGGCGATAGGCCCACGATTGCGAAACCGCACGTTCATGGGCGGGGCGCGTCAGCCCCAATCGGCGATTAGTGTTAGGTCGGGCGTGTCCTCCTACAGACGGATTTCGGACGGAAGACCAAGCAGAAGTTACGACATGCTCAAACATAGCAAATCATTGTGAAAGGATGAAAACTCGTGCCTGACTATTTTCTACGATTATTGGAAATTCCTCCTGTAGAGGGACATGCCCGACTTAAGATTAGTAGGCGATTGGGGTCAGTGCTCCCCTTCCCTGGGCCCAGTCCCCCCTCCCCCCCCCTCCTCCTCCAACTCCTCCTCCAACCTCCTCCTCCTCCTCCTCCTCCTCCTCCTCCTCCTCTCCTCCCCCTCCTACTCCTCCACTGCCTCCTCCTCCTCCTCCTCCTCCTCCTCCTCCCCCTCCTCCTCCGTCTCCTCCTCCTCCTCCTCCTCTCTGCCGTGGCCCCGTGACCCTCCCGCGCGAGCGCGGGTCAAGGGCGCGAGCCCTTTCGCCGAAGGCTTCGAGCCCTGCGGGCGCACGCAGAAGGCACACCGCTCCAGCGTGTACTGCCCAAGCTCGAAAAACACCGAAGGGCATGAGCATGCACTGGGACGCAAGAGACTTTTGGCGCCGGCGGCTAGGCAAGAGACGTCTGCTGCGGCGATGAGGTGCCTAGACGGGGATGCCATTAAACCGATGTGCGCCATCATGCAAGAAGAGGGGGAAGGGGAGGGAGCAGCCGAAAAAGGGGCGGCGGACGGAGCGAGCGGCCGGGGGGGGGGGGGGGGCGGACCGTTCCCCCAGCAAGCGGCGAGGACGCGCAAAGACATACCAGTGCCATGCATTGTCCTTGGAGGCGCGACTCCGACCGAAACACATCGTAGACCTATTTCAATGTCTTCTTCACCAGAACCCACCATAAACTGGACACACCTATATATATATATATATATATATATATACACACACACTCACGCACACACACACACACACACACACACACACACACACACACACACACACACACACACACACACACACACACACACACACACACACGCACACAGAGGCACGCCCCAGACGCCCTCTCCGACGTCTCGGCGGCCCCCTGGACGCCCTTGGGCCGCTGGCCCTGCCAGGCGTCCCAGGGCGCCTTGACCCTGCGAGCAGACGCATTGCGATCAGAGGGGTCATCGGCGAGGCGCAGGAGATATCACCAAGACAACACAAGAGCGCTCCAAGCGGAACCTCGGTGGTCTGAAGGCAGCCCGAGAGGCCCCCAGGACGCCCCCAGAGGCCGTTCAGAGGGCCCCGGAGAAGCAAACGTCGCTCTGGGTCTTCGCAGCGTCCAAGACGGCGCCCGGTGGGCCCCCGATATCGCCCCAAGACGGCCCCAAGACTGCCCCAGATAACCACGAGACTGCCCATAAGACGCCCAAGATGCCGCCAAAAGCTTCCCAAGAGAGACCCACGAATGCCATGGGAGACCCCCAAGGAGGCCACTGGAGGCCCCCCAAAAAGGCCCTAATGGTTTCAGAATGCCTCTGCAGGGCCCCTGCTCCCCAACACGGCCCAATAAGGCCCCAGGACGGCCCCAAAGAGCTCCAAAAACGACCAGATGGCGTCCTCCTACGAAGTACATCGAGCTGACCCGAAGATCTCGGTTCCACGCTTGAGGCTCGAGGCTTAAATTCCTCGATCGAGGGGAACAGGCAATGGATCGACATTCGAAGTTCGCCGGCCGACGACTTCCTCGGCACGCGACTGCGACTGCGACTTCGTCGGCGTGTCGTGGGAACGCTCCCTACTTCCGCAGAAGAGCTTCGCGAGCGAACAATCATCATTCCTCCCCTACTGACTACCTACCAGACCACCCCAACCCAACCCGAAGGCCCGAATTTGACCCGAATTTCGGGTGTGTGGGGGGGAGAGGGTACGGATTCCATGTGTTTTTTCGATGTTCCCCGACCCCCCCCCCACTGGAAATCGAGGATGAATTTGGGCCTTCGGGTTGGGTTGGGGTGGTTTGGTGGGTGGTGACCTACTCCTGCGCACAGGCGTGCAGGCGCAGCGGTCGAACGCGGCGTCAGCAGGGCACATGGGATGTCAGAGCAATGCGCGGGTCGCCCGTGTCCGGGCCTCGGGCCCCCCCCTTGCTGAAGCAGGCGATGACGCATTGTTCTGCCGGGGATGCGTCCGGAACAAAGCGCTTGGCGCGAAGCGCCGATGAAGTCGTGTGTATGTATATTTCATATATATATATAAATCATAAAATTATATATATATATATATATACATATATGTGTGTGTATCGCTTCCCGAGCGGTGTGGCCAAAAGACGCCCGCCACGACGCGCATACTAGAAGAGTTCTCGGAGCGCGCGTCGCCCCTGGGGGGCGAAGCACACATAGTATCAGTATGTTGGGGTGACGCCGAATACACATTCGGAGCTCCGCGCGGATTTTGATCGGCGCCGGAGCCCCTATCCCTGGCGCGCGGAGCGCGCCAGGGGCGTCGCCGGAAGCGCCGCCAGGGGGGGTTCCAGCGCCCATCCGGGAAATCCGCGTGAACCTCCGAAATAGCACGTTTGTGCCGCATCCTCCCTCGGCAGCCGCGAAGTGCCCTCCAAGACCGGAGCCGTCGGCTGTTTCCAGCCCTCGTGCCTCAAGTGTTTATGCTTGAAGCTCCTTTAAACATGCATAATGCAACTCTCTGCACCTCTGTAAGGGCTGATTACTCAAGGCCGCTGAATGGCACTCAAGGCCGCTAAAGGCCGCCAAATGCCACTCAAGGCTTCGACATGCTGCTAAACGACGACTGAACGGCCACTGATGGCTGCTAATGGTGCACCAGAGGCCGCTAGAGGCCACTAACAAAGCGACTAAACCGAAGCGGGATGTGCTAGAACAAGCTCCCAAGAGGACCCACCGGACTTTTAGGCTGTGACGGGGACGCCGCCACCGATCCCAGAGAGAGAGAGAGCCGAGCCCAAACTTCGAGCATCCTTCGGGGCGCCCCAGCTCCGCCCGCCCTGCCTCCTCCGGCCGCACGCCTCCGCCCGCGCCTCCTCATCCCCGACGCCGCGCCCCCTCCGTCCTCCACCTCCCGCCCCCCTCTCCCAGCCAGCCTTCCTCCTCGGCCACCTCCCTCCTCCTGATCCCGCCTCCTCATCCCCCTCCTCCTGTTCATCACCCTCCCCCCCCTTCGTCGGCAAGCCCGCCAGGCTGCCGAAGAGGGCCCCAAGAGGCCCCCAAGATGGCCAGAGACGGCCCCAGAAGGGCAAGCTCTCCACCCCAAGATGTTTCCTACGACTTCCAGCGTGCCCCCCCCGCCCCCCCCCAGGAGGCCCTCAAAAGCCCTAAAAGAGCCCCAAAAGAATCCTCGAGAGGCCCCCGGGCACCACAAAACTGCATCCAGAATGCTTCCGAGAGGCCGTCAAAAAGCTACCAACAAGCATCAAAGAGACCTCTGACATACAACCCGAAATCGGTGGCGGGATGTGCCGAATGCCACGTGTGTACGTGCACGTTTGCACTCACATCATCACTAGAATTATCTCTTCGCGCGCGCTCAAGTTCTAGCGAGCTTCTCGGGGCCTCCTCGGAGCATCCTGGACTGCTTCTTAAAGTCGTCATGGGACCTTCTTGGCAAGTCTTCGGGGGCCTCTTAAATGAAGGGGCCCTGGGACACACAAATAAATACACACAAATAAAAAGATGCCCCATATTTTCCCATATTTTCTGGGTTTTTGTCTTCCCCACCACTTCCCATATTTTCCCATATTTTCTGGGGGATCGACGATTAATTGTGTCTGTGTGTTTCTTTCCCTCCTGATTAAAAGAGTTTTGAAGCCTTTCGGGTGCCGTCGTGGGGCCTCCTGGAGCCTCTTTGGGGCTTCTTGGGGGCTTCCTGGGGCCTCTTGGGAGTTTCCTGGGGGCATTTTGGGGCCTCTTGGGGGCATCTTGGGGCGGAGAGCTTGATTTTTCAGTTCGCGTTCCCTCTCTTGGGCCCTTCTTGGGGCCTTCTTGGGACCCTCTTGCGCCGTCTTGGGCGGCTCTGGGGTCGTCTCGGTGCTCTCTTGGGCCGTCTTGGGGCCCTCTTGGAGGCCTCTTGGGCCGTCTTGGAGCTGTTTGGGGAGGCTCTTGGGCGGTACTTTAGCGCCGGAAACACGAAACAGCAAGAATGTAAAAAAGCATCGGGAAAACCACTCAACATCAACGATGTTGCCCTCTCGGGGCGCTCTTGGGCGGCATCTTAAAGGCCTCTTGGGGCGTCTTGGGGGCCTCTGGGGCAGTTGAAAACACATCGTGCGTCGCCAGAGACCCCTGGACGGCGTCTTGGGGGTGTCTCGAGACCGTCTGGGGCCGCCGGGACTGCTGTCTGAGGCCTCCCCCGGGCGATTTTAGGCCTCCCAAAGGCGGGTCGGCGCCCCGGACCCCGGGTCCCCCCTTCTATGTGTGTATATATATACACATATATGGCTATATGGATACATATATATATATATATATATACATACATGTGTATATATATATATATATATATGTATGTATGTATGTATGTATGTATGTATGTATGTATGTATGTATGTATGTATGTATGTATGTATGTATGTATGTATGTATGTGTGTATGTGTGTGTATGTATAAATATATGCTTCTATGGTTGTATGCATAAAGGAACGCTCTGGAACCGCGATGAAAATTCCATCATTTGGGGCCGCGTGGCCAGCGCAACCGAACGCGGCGGGCTGGTCGAACCCACCCAGCGCAAGGACGCAATAGATAGGGCAGCCATGCACCAGCCCACATCTCCATATATTGAAGCCAAGACAAAGTCATAAACAGCATGCGTAGAAGAAGAAACAGCTGCATAAATATAAACTTCTCGCGCTCCGCGCGGATTTCTTGGATCTGCGCTGGACTCCCCTCCCATTTCGCGCGCTGCGCGCCAGGGGCGGCGTCGGAGGCGCCGCCAGGGGGGGATCAGCCTGGATCCAAGAAACCCGTACAGAGCACCAAGGTTTCTGCCTATGGCGCTTGTTGTTCTTGTTCGGATCTTCACAAAGAGTGGAGCCAAGACGACAAAGCCACAACAACATGCGAGGACGCTCTGGAGAAGAACGAGACCGAACACGAGCCCGCAACGAGGCCGCCAAGGCCTCCGCGGCGGCTGGCGAGTCATAGCCACGGCGGCGGCGACGCTGCGACGGGCGAGACGGCGGCGAGCAGGGGCGCCTCGACGACGCAGGACGGACGGCGGGCGACTCTTCGGCGGACGGCTCGGCATCGGTGCCACCGCGGGGACGAGGGCAACGGATGGGCGCCTCCTGCGGGCGAGTCGAACGCCTCCCGTGAGCGAGCGCCATCTTCCTTCGCTGTTTGCGTAATGGTAGCCAGAGCGGTAAACGAATCATCCTGGCGAAGAGCCCGGCCATATGAAGAAGCGGGTACCGCGAAGCAAGTGGGAAGAAGCAGGGGATGAGCAAGGGGTGTGCCGAACTCTGGCGGGTGCGCCATGACCCTGCCGATGAAGCCTTGGATGGAGCTCCCAAATGAAACCACGGTACCCGTGAGGGGTGTGTCGGATCGGATGCGGGCACGCCGTGCGGACCATCCCGCTGGGGCCTTCGGAGGAGCTCCCTTCGGGGCCACGCAAGAGTCGGGGGTGTGTGGAACCGCGGTGCGGGCACGCCGTGCGGACTCTGCCGCCAGGGTCTTCAGTGGAGCCCACTGCGGGGCCACGAAGCTTGTGAGGGGTGTGCCGAATCCGGTGCGGGTCCGCCATGCAGCACTGCCGCTGGGGCCTGCGGTGGATCTCCTCATGATGCCACGATGCGTGTAAGGGTTGTGCCGGGTCCGATGCAAATGCGCCATGCGGACCCTTCCGCTACGGGTGCCAGAGTTCCGTATGGGGCCACGAAGCGTGTGAACGATGCGTCGAATCGGGTGCGCATACGCTATGCGGACCCTTCCGCTGGGGCCTGAGGTGGAGCTCCCTTCGAGGTAACGAAACGTGAAGAGATGTGCCGAATCGGGTGCGGGCAGACCCTGCCGCTGGGGCCTCCGATGGAGCTCCTTACAAGGCCACGAAACGTGTGAGTGGCGTTTCGATTGGGGTGCGGGCAGGTCGTCATGGCGACCCTGCCGCTGGCGTCTTCGGTGATGGGCATGTTTTCCACCACCACCACCATAAGTTGGAGGCGGAGGGAGTCCTCCTCCTCTTCCTCCTCCTCCTCCTCCCCCTCCTCCTCCTGCTTTCCCCCTCCAACTTATGGTGGTGGTGGTGGGAAATAGGCCCATCATTCGGTGGAGCTCCCCATGGAGCCCCGAGGCGTGTGAGGAGTGAGCGCGGTCCCGCGCGGGCACGCCACGCGGACGCCGCGGCTGGAGCTCCCTGCTGGCCACGAGACGTGCGAGGGGTGCGCCGGCAACGGCGAAGGCGGCCAGGTGGCGAGGACGACGAGGACGCCGAGGACGAGGACGGCGAGGACGCGGGACGGGAGGAGGCCGGAGGAGGGAGGCGAGGAGCGGAGAGGAGGCGCAGGGAGTGGCGCACGCGGGGCGCCGCCTCGTCGAAAGCGGGGACCCTGCACCACAGAATGGCTGTCCTCCTGGAGGCGTAGGTTGGGCGAACATTGCGAAACACAGGTGAAGACAACAAAGTAATCAAAAACGGCGAACATCGTCCCCATGCTGTTTTACTCTTTTGGAATACTCCTCCTGTAGAGGGAGAGGCCCGACTCAAGAGAAGAAGCCAGGCATCATCATGCTCCCGCCCGCCCCGCGTCCCGCGAGGAGGGCCTTGCTGGGGCGCCGATGGCGCGTCAATTCCGGCGCCCGCCGCCGGCGCGAGCTGCGCCGGTGGGGCGGCGGAGGGGTCTGCGCCTGCCTGGCGCCGTAGGCGGGGCAGCAGGCCACCAGGGGAAGAGGATCTTGGATGCTTGTGGTGGTGGTGTTTCGGTCACCCAGGAAACCCGAATGTTGCCACCATCACCGAGATCGGGACCTTCCTTCTCCCCTCCGTGGGGGCACACCGCCGGTGTGGGTGTTGGTGTCAACCTCTAGGCCTGCGCTCTTTCCCACCTTCTTTCCCCTCCGCCCCCTGTTCTGAACAGGGGGCGGGAGGGAATCTTCGAGGGCGCTCCGATGCGCGAAAAATGCACCACGAACATCACGCAAAGAACCTGCGCGACGGAATGCGCTCGACCATTCGTCCCTGGAGCCCGCGCGGGAGAACAGGAAAACCTGAAGATCTGGAAAACTATCAATATCAATACTTCATGGTCCTCTGAGTTCAAGCAAAGGGTCAGGCCGCACCGAGGAGGCGTGCGAGCGAGTCCCTGTGCGTGAGCTCCACCGAATTCTTGGCGGGCCTCTCGCCACGCTTCCCCCCCTGCATTATAGAAGCCTCCCAGATGGGGTCTGGGTAGCTGGGGTCGGAGGACTGCGCCGCATCGCCAATGCCTCGCCGATGAACCGGCGATGCGTCGGCGATGCATCGGCGGTGCATCGGCGCCATCGGCGTGGAGAAGGTCGGGCTCTACGTCGAGCCGCGTCGGCGATGCATCGGCGATGCGGCGCGATCCTCCGGCCGCAGGTGCTCGCACCCCATCTAAGAGAGTCCTAGATACATGCAGATAAACCTGCCAGAATATACTCAGAAAAATCCAGATCCCCTCGTGTCCGACGCTACGATGCGTTCATCCGGGCGCCTTCGCTCGATCTTGGCCTCTAGGGTCCGTGTTCGGGCTCTGTGGGCCATCAGCAGTGAATCCGGGGCGAGAAGCCGTCCTCGGGCGAAGTGCCGAAAACTCGGAGGCCGCTGGAAAATCATGCTGGAGGATGGAAACTGGCCTCGGGAAAGGGGATGAAAGCTTCGAGGCCGCTGATATACCAGGCCTCAGGGGTTGGGACCCTATGGATAATTACGCGATGTTGTTTTGCCGGGTGCCCCGCGCGGCACGTGCGGCCGCGTATCCACGGGATCGCCCCGCATGGATATGGATGTGTTGTTCGCCACTCGTAATGGCGATGGAAAAAGGGGGGGGGGGGAGGGGCAAATGCAGGGGCGCAGACCAGTGCTGCGGGGGGGGACCCTCGTGGGCCCGCACTCTGGCAAAGGGTCACGTTTGCGCGTGGCCTATACCTGAAGCCTGCCCCCTCTTCGCCCTCCTCTCCCCGCCCCATCCCCCGGCCCTCGTCCACTGCCCAAACATATGATGTTTGATCTGTTCCCGGCCGTCCTGTGGAGCTGGGTCCTAGACTCGAATGCATCCCGCGTCTCACCTCACTCTTCCTGCCCATCCAGCCTTGATCGCATCCCTGCCCTTGCCCTCCGCATGTCATCGTTGTCGTCGTCATCGTCGTCATCATCAGCATCATCAGCATCGACATCATCATCATCATCATCATCATCATCATCATCATCATCATCATCATCATCATCATCATCATCATCATCATCATCATCATCATCATCATCATCATCATCATCCGCATCATCAGTATCCTCCGCATCTGCATCATCGTCATCATCATCATCAGCATCATCATCATCATGATCATTACCATCATCATCATCATCATCATCATCATCATCATCATCATCATCGTCATCATCATCAGCATCATCATTGCCAACATCATCATCAAAAACATCGCCCTCACCAGTACTATCACCACCACCATCAACAACACAATCAACACCATCATCAACATCACCAGCATCATCAGCAGAACCAGCATCGTACCGTCATCAACATCATCATCACAATGATCGTCACCATCCTTATCGACAACATCACAATCAGCATCATAATCAGCCTCACCACCATCACCCTCACCATCATCATCGTGGTTATCGTCATTTCCCAATACGGTCAACGTCACCGCCATCATCATTAGCAGCATCATCAACATCATCATTACCATGATCATCAGCATCATCATCCTCATCATCATCATCAGGATCGTCATTATCATCACCATGACCATCACTATCATCAACAGCATCACAATCAACATCACAACCACCGTTACCATCACCATCACCATCACAAATCGTCATCATAACCACCACCAACACCATCATCATCATCATCATCATCATCATCATCATCATCATCATCATCATCAGTATCAGCTTCATCAGCGGTACCAACCACCACCATCAACACCATCCTCATTAATGGCATCGTCAACCTCAACATCGTCATCACCACCAACACCACCACCGTCATCACCATCATCAGCAACAGCAACAGCAACATCATCATCATCATCATCAGCATCATCGTCAGCATCATCATCATGTTCGTCGTCATCATCATCATCACCAGCAGCATGTTCATCATCACCATTATCATCATCATCGTCAGCATCATCATCATCATCAGCATCATTATCTTCAGCATCAGCAGCATCATCATCATCATCATCATCGTAATCATCATCATCATCGTCGTCGTCATCATCATCATCATCACCATCATCATCATCATCATCATCATCATCATCCTCGGCAGAGTCGGCGGCGGCGGCAACACGCGTTTCGTGGCCCGTTGGGGGCTCCACCACACGCCCCGATGGCACAATTCATATGGGCGCACCGCACACATGTCGGCACAACCCCACAGGAAGCTCCGCAGAAAGCCCCAGCGGCAGGGCTCGCATGGCGGCATCGCACCAACATTGGCAAACCTCACGCGCTTCGTCACCCCATGGGGAGCTCCACCGAACGTCCCACTGGCAAAGGTTACACGGCGTCACCGCACTATTTGCGGCAGACCCTAACACGCTCCGCGGCCCCATAGGGAGCTCTGCCGAAGGCCACGTTAACAAAGTTCGCCAGGCAGTACCAAACTCAGTTCGGCGCAACGCTCACACGCTTCGTGACACCATGGGGAGCTCCACCGTACGCCCCAATGGCAAAGTTCACACGCTTCGTGGCCCCATGAGGAGCTCCACCGCGCGCCCCAACGGCAAAGTCCGCACCCATTTCAGCTCACCTCTCGCACGCTTAAGCCCCGCAGGGCCCTCTGCCGAAGGCCCCGGTGGCAGAGCTCGCACGGAGGCACCGCATCCGCGCCGGCAGACCCTCTCGCACAGCCCGTGACCCCATGGGGGGGAGCTCCGCGGAAGGCCCCGATGGCGCGCGCAGGCCCCGCCCTCGCCGAGCGCCCGCCCGCTCCTCGGCCCTGCCCCCCCCCCGTGCCCTTTTTCGCCTGTCCTTCTCATCCGCGCCCGCGACTCCAATTGACTCATCCCCCAATTGTGAAGGGGCCCCAGGACACACAAGTAAATACACACAAATGAAAAGATTCCCCATAGTTTCCCATATTTGCTGGCTTCTTGTCTCCCCAACCACTTCCCATATTTTCCCATATTTCCTGGGGAGTCGACGATTAATTGTGTCTGTGTGTTTCTTTCCCTCCTGAAACTGACTCGTCCCCCAATGGACTCCTCACCTGCCTCGCGGTGCTCCCGGCTGCATCACGTGGCTGGCACTGTGGCCCGAGAGGACTCCGAGCGCGGGATCTTCGGCACGCTCTTCCACCGAGCGAGCCGAATCGAGAACGCACGAAGGCACCCCTCGACGGAGCTCCCGCGCGCCGCGGGTCGAGTTACCAGTTCGCGCCGCGCCAACTCCGAGCGTTCGCTGGCACGGACTCGCGCCACGCGCATGGCCGCAAACCGTCTCTTGCTAAACACGCCCACCAACACCCCTCTTCACTGTCCGCTCGCGGCGCGTCCGGCGCTGCATCCGTGTGACGACGCCGCGCGGAATGACTGCGTCAGCAGACGCACGGGCCCGCGCCACGGGCAACGCTGCCAGGACGCGATCACGACCGTTGAACGCCAGATGCTGCCGCCAGATGCTGCCCCCCACAGACCTCACAAAACAGCGCGCCGCCAGTCACGAAGCAGAAGCCGACGCAGCCCTCGCCGAGTGTTAGCTGCCGCTCGCTTGGTGTAGGGGGCAAACGAACCTACCTCGCTTTTGACCACCCTCGCTTCCAAGAGCTACCAAACGATGCCAAACTACGGCACGCATGGTGCCGTAGTTTGGCATCGTCTGGTATGCCTGGAAGCGTGGTATGACTTGGTTTTGCCTGGAAGCGAAAGCGGGGTAGGACATTCACGCTCTGATGGTGGGCAGGTCCTCGCCGTCGGCGCCGAACGGCCTCTTCGAGGGCGCAAAGGTTGGCGAGGTGCTGCCTGCCCTCGGTGCTCGAGCACCGCGCCGGCAGGGCCGTCGACTCGCCCTGAACCTCCGCGTCGAGGGAGTCGGCCCCGAGGGGTACAGTCGGGGCGTTGAGCTAAGGAACCCTAAGTAAGGAGCGAGGCCCCACTTCTCCACAAGCTAAACTTCGATTTCCTGTCGAAAGCATAAGGGAAACCTGAGGCAAGCTGTGAAACAATCAGGGAACACGGAGCCCCTCCCCAACGAAAAGGGTTCCCTCTTCAAGACCCCTACTGTACGTTGCCGATGACCGTGATGCCCGAGCCCACCGCAATCGGATCTTTGCGCCGCCACGGCGAGATCGGCTCGCATGCCTCGCAAAGAACGAGCTCGCCCGTCTCTGAGGGGGCCCTGGGACACACAAATAAATGCACACAAATACAAAGATTCCCCCTATTTTCCCATATTTTGTTTGGATTTTCGTCTTCCCCCCCGCTTCCCATATTTCCCCATATTTTCTGGGGAGTCGACGATCAATTGTGTCTGTGTGCTTCTTTCCCTCCCGAGTCTCGTGCTCCTGCCTCCCGTCGCCGTGCACGAGCAGGGTGGGCCGCGAACCGGTGCACTCGTCGCGTCCCGTGTTTTGCCAAAACCCGCGCGACGAATTCGGTGTCCGTGTACGGGCTGTGCGAAGCCAGGCCGTGCGCTTCTGGGAGCTGGGCGGTCGCAAAAGTCCACTGCCGCCACACAGCTTGTCGCGTGTTGCCTTCCCTAGCTCGGGATCGTCGGCACAACCCCAGAAGCTGCAGCCGGTGGAATTCTCGAAGCCGAGTTTGCCGGCTTCGCACATTCCTGCAGCCATGACCAGAGAGTTGTGCAACGTCATGGACCAGAGAGAAGCCATGACCAGAGAGAAGCTTGGTGAATTAAGAAACGATGTGATGCAATAGTGCGTGCTCGTGCTTTTTGATGTGCGAACCGTGCACTCGTCGCGTCCCGGGCTTGCAAAACCCGCGCGACGAATTCGGTGCCGTGTACGAAGCCAGAGCTGGGCGGTTCCACTAGTTGTCGGTGTGGCTCGGGATCGTAGCTGCAGCCCTCTGGCCGAGCTGGAACTGATCCTGGATAGTGCGTGCTGCAATTTTTTGCCGCCAGGCGTAAAATGGCCACGCCAACCTGTGGCGGCCGCTCATGAGCACCGAGGCACGCCGGGAAGAAGCTATGCATCCGTGCTCGAACGGGCGTGTGGGCGAAGGTCGTGACGTTTCTCGCGTTCTCCTGGTTCGGGGGCCCTGCAGAAACATAATGCATCGGAGGTCTGCGGGACCTGGCGAAGCTCTGTGTCTGCCGCCTTCCTCTTTACATACCAGCCCAGTGCACCTCCGCCTCCGCCCCTCCTTCTGATGGGCGCTTGCCTTTCTGGGCGCTCGCCTTGGGAACATTCGGCGGCGCGTTTCGAACCGGCGGGTGGGCTCGCCCCCCCAACACTCGGCGCCGTCGACCAAAGCCAAGGGGACCCCCCTCCCCCCAACCCCCCCCCCCCTCCCGAACCCTCCCCCCTCCCAACCCAAGGAGGGGGGGGGTTCAAACCCGAGCCATGTCCGGCCGTGGCGGCGTGGCGCTCTGGGAATACTCCCTCCCGCCAGGGGGGGGGCCTCCTCCGCCTCCGCCTCCTCCTCCTGAGGGGGGCCACGGGGCCGCCCCGATGCCCCGAGAGGAAGCCCTGGATGGGGCGCTCGCGAGGACGCCCCGTCGGGCGGCCCCCCGAGAGGGCCACGGCGGGGCCCCCTCGGCGGGGACCGCGCGGGGAGGCGGGGCGAGGAGGGGGGCCGACGAGGCCGCCCGACGCCGGACTGGGTCCCCGTCGAGCCCCTCTCCCCTCCTCTCCCCTCCTCTCCCCTCCTCTCCCCTCCTCTCCCCTCCTCTCCCCTCCCTCCCTCCCTCTCTCCCTCCTCCTCCTCCTCCTCTCCCCCCCCTCCCTTCCCTCCCTCCTCCTCCTCCTCCTCCCCCCCCCCCTCCCTCCCTCCCTCCCTCCTCCTCCTCCTCCTCCTGCTCCTGCTCCTGCTCCTCCTCCTCCTCCTCCTCCTCCTCCTCCTCCTCCTCCTCCTCCTCCTTCATCGTCCGTAATTACCTCCTGTCGGGTCCGATCGAATGGCGTGCGCGCTCGAGCTGTGCGCAGCGTCCCGCCCACATCGTCTGAGGCCTCCCAGATGGGGTGCGCGCGGATGGGGTCGGAGGTTCGCGCCGCATCGCCAATGCATCGCAGAGGCTTCGGCGACGCGTCGGCGGTGCGTGGGCGACGTCAGCGCGGAGAAAAAATTGGGCTCCACATCGAGCCGCCTCGGAGATGCATCGGCGATGCGCCACGATCCTCCGACCTCATCTGCTCCGACTCCATCGAAGAGGCCTAGAATCATTGGGGTCACAACCAGACTGCGCGCGCACGGGTGACGCTTTACCGAAGCCATGAGATCGTGGACCCTGGGAGGCAACTATCGATCCCTCCCAGGCGTTATGCGTAGCACTTAAAGTAGCTGACTAACTCTGAGCCCGAAGGATGGAAACCGACGAGCGATACCGTTAGCACCACGACAAGTCAATTCATTAGATTACTCCCGGGGGGGCGGTGGGAACCGATGTGGATCTTGCTGGGTTAAGGTTGCAACCCTCTTGGGCTCTCGTTGGAATCCGATTGGGGTCTTGCTGGGATTGGATCTGGATTTTGATGGGATCCCGCACTGAGGGGTCTGGGGGCGGAATATCACCTCCAGGGGCGAGAAACGACGACATTTCACATGAAGGAAAACAAGAGGGGCGAGAAATGCTTCCCGAGTCTACCCGCTATAACCTGCAAAGCATTGCATCCTGACGGGCCTTCCCCAAGGCCCCCGCTCCCAATCTGGACGCCCGCAATGAGTACCGAAAAGATGGCTACGATGCCCAGCAACAAGTGGTGTCCGAAACCGAAAGCTCCCAGTTCGGGGGGGCAAGCGGCTGCTTGCCTGACAAAAACCAACGACCCGCGGCTGCGCCGACAGCGAGTCCTGCTCAAAACGGACAGGCGCTGCTGCTGGTCTTCGTTCCCAGTATGTCCGTACCCATGTCTCAGCGACACCGAAGGGTGTGCTTTGCTGGGTGCGGTTTGCAACTCGCACCCAGGGGGGCGGGCGAGGACCTCGACAAAGCTTTCCGCCGCGCAGCGAGGTAGCCAGACGAGGGCAACATGCTGCCAACGAAACCCAAGCCGACGCAGATCGTCAATCACACTGCCGCGTAACCACACCATGTGCATAAAGAAGAACAACTCCATAAAAATGCACTCTTGGCGCGCCGCGCGGATTTCTTGGATCTGCGCTGCACCCCCCTCCCTGGCGCTCGGAGAGCGACATCGGTGGCGCCGGAGGCGCCGCCAGGGAGGCCCCGGCGCAGATCCAAGAAATCTGCCTGGAGCGCAAAAAATTATGTTCTGTCGTTTTGTTTCTTCTTCGATCGAACTCAGATCACATCGATAACGGCCCCCGCCCTTCTCCTGCCCCCGCCCTCCTCCCGAGCTTGCCCGAGCCCCCCAACGCTCCGCCGCGGCAATGCCGGCGGCGGCCGCGGCCACGCCGACGGCAGCGGCTGGCGCGGCGGGCGCTGCGAAGGCGGCGGCCTCGCGGCAGGGAGGGGTGAGGAGGAAGGGTAAACCCATGGTGAGGTGACGATGTTTAGAGGCCTCCTACGTGGGGTCGGAGTAGATGGGGTCGGGGGATCGCGCTGCATCGCCGATACATCTGCGATGCATCGGCGAAGCGGGAGATGAATCGGCCACGTCGACGTGAAGCAAATCGGGCTCAACATCGAGCCACATTGGCGATGCATTGGCGATGCGTCGCGATACTCCGACCCCGTCTACTCCGACCCCATCTAGGCGGCCTAGAATGTTGCAATAAACCGTCCCTCCAAGTTCCCTCTTCAGATGCCCTACCAGCATATATGAGCATTGCGGGAAATGCCCAATCGGCACGCAAACGCATCAGAATCCTCCATCGTGTCAGATCACAACTCCTGGAAGTCCAGCGTCGCGAATGAACGTGACTGTTGCGTCTTGGCAATCTTAAACCCTACCAGAACACAAGCTCAACACAGCGAAACAACGTGACTGTTGCGTTCTGAAGACCCGTAACGTTGCCAACACACCGACCTAAAGACTGTGAGCATGCGAGACTGTCAAAAGTAATCTGCGTGGCACTGTGGCGAGAGAGAGGCGAGAGCCACGTTTTGGAGAAGAACCAACCCTGCATCTCCTGCAAGCTTTCAAAGCGGATGTGCAGGGCGCCAGGGCGAGGGCGCGAGAACCACATTTTGGCAGCCCTCAACCCTTAAAGCTCTTGCATCCATTCGAGACGAATGTGCGAGGGGCTCTGAGGCGAGAACAACATGTCGAAAACGGCCCGCGCCCTCAATCCGTGAAGCTGCTGCAAGCTTCAAGCTTCAAGGCCGAAAATGGTGATGGCGTCTCGAGCGAAACGCCGGGCCCGCCTGACCAGCACGTCTGGAGATGCGGCAGGGAGGAGTCATTCACATCACGAGGCAAATGGGCTGAGGAGGAGGAGGGAGGGGTAACGATAGTTGGCGGGAGGGCTCCCGAGAAGTCCCGCCGCCTTCTGAGAAGGCATGCCCCCCCTCGCTTCCCGCCAGGGCGCACCACCGACATTGGATGTGGACGCCCGAAATGGGTACGGGAAAAATGGGTACAATGCCCAACAGCAAATGTTGTCCCAAACCAACAGCGGCCGCTGTTGGGCAGGCGGCCTTCTGTCTCGAATGGACACAGGCCGCGGCGGCGTGGACAACGAGTCGTGTTCAAAATGTACAGGAATTGCTGTTGGGCATTGTACCCATTCTTTCCGTACCCATTTCGGGCGTCCAGACTCTCGCTTCCCGCCAGGGCGCACCACCGACATTGGAGGGGACTGGCTCAAGAGGGGAGAAACATCGACCTGGAAGCGGCGGTGCGCCGCCGACAGCTTTCGGGGATGGACAGAACTCCCTTTAGTAAAACGTGATTCAGTGCAAACGACCTGAGGCCCAAGCCTGGCGGGCGCGAGCCTGGAAAATAACGGCCGCGGCGCCCTCTCGAGAACCGAAAAAGGACAATTCACTAATCGACGTGTCACTGTTGGGGGTTCTGTCCACCCCCGAAGCTCAGCGAGAGGCCCCCGATTGCGAAGCCGCACGCACGCACGCACCATGACAAGAACAACAGGCAGTCGGGCCCCCTTTTGTCCGCACGACTTGCCGTCGCTCGGACGTACGTTTCCCGTGCATGTTTCGGTTTCTGGCGCGTTTTTTTTTTGCTCGATGGTCCAGGATGGTCCCCGATGGCCCTCGCCGAGAAAGAATGCACACGTCCGAGCGATGCCAGGACAAGGAATGGGCGCTTGAGAATCGATGCGTCCGCTCCTTTGAGCCCACTCTTCCCAAACGCTGCCCCTCTGGCCATCGCTCGGACGTCCATTCCCTGTGTTTTTTGTTCGGTTTCGCGCGTGGTTGTTTCGCCAAGTGATCAAGGATGCTCCTCGATGGTCCTCGCCCAAGGAAAAATGCACACGTCCGAGCGATGCCATGCCCCTGAGATTGGGAGGAGGGGGGAGAGGAGCGGGGACGCAGGACCTGGATCTCGGGCCGACGGGCCATCTCGGCTGCAGCGTCTTCTGCACAACTTCTGGCCTCCGGGTGCGCCTGTTTCTAGGGGGCCACATGCGTACCCTACCCCTACCCCCCACGATTTCTGAGGGGGAGGGCGGGTATTCACTTCGTTCGGGAGGTCACGAGCGAAGTGAACCCCACCCTCTCCCTCAGAAATTGTTGGGGGTAGAGGTAGGGTTCGCATGTGGCCCCCTAGTGTCGGCCCCCGTGGACGTCCGGACAACGCGCAACTCTGGGACGCGAGTGAACCCACAGGGAGAGATGGGGGAGAGACCTCTGGGCTGGCGCAGACGAAAAAACACTCCACCAAAGCTCTTGGAGGGGATCAGGAAAGGAGCCGGAAGAGGAGGAGGAGAGGAGGAGGACCAGGAGGATGAGGAGGAGGAAGAGGAGGAGGAGGAGGAGGAGGACCAAGAGGAGGAGGAGGAGGAGGAGGAGCGCACAGGCTGACCGACGAGAAGAGGGCAGGCGGACAAGAAAGAGACGGGACGAGGGCAAACCGCAGACCAGGTCCGACAGGGGCGGCAGCAGGCGGCGGCAGCTGGGGGTCGGGCCTCGATCACCGTCCTCTGGACGTGAGAGCAGCCCGCGCTCCCGCATGTCTGCGGGCGATGACACGAACCCTAGACCTAAAGAGAGACAGGAGACAGTCGGGCCCGAAACGGTCCTGGGACCTCAGGGTATTGTACGCAGACAGTAAAACGTCATGGACCAGGAGGGCCGATAAAAAGCTCATTACTATTTATGGGGGGGGTCTCGTGGATAAAGAAATGTTGAACCCTAGACCATGCTCTGTACGAAGAGGGGAGAGAGGGAAGGGCGTCCTTCAGCACTTCAAGAGCAGCAGGGCAGTGGAGATAGTGGTCGACCGCATCCCCGAACATCGCCATACAACCGAACCTGCAGCACATAGTTCCATTTCGAAATCGTCTCGTGGTCGGCCACGCGTTACACACACTCTTGATCAGGGAGGTGGAAGCGAACGGGCCCACCTTCTTCGTTAGCATATTGATCAGCAAGAACATCCGATCGGCCACCTTCTCCGGAGCATCTGGCCAAAAATACAGGATACGACGGTGCAGCAGGGGAGGGACAGGCTGGCCAGGGGAACGTGATCTCAACAAGGACGACATCTTTTTCTGCACATCATCACAATCTGGGTCCGCCAGTCGGGGGGCAATCGCAGACAACTGGGTGAAATTCACAATCCAGGTCATGGTAACCGAGCCGTTCAACCAATTCTTCATTCGTGTCACAGCCAAGACATCGCAATCATATTCAGAGATACTGTGAAATCTGGCAGCTATACTAGGGAAAACGGAACTTCTCAAAGCGGCACGGAACAACGCGGCCCTATTTTCACATGAAATGTCTCGAGGTACCGAATCGAATCCCAAAGAGCCCAGGTTCTTTAGTAATGCCGTCGATATCGAATGCCGCGGAGCAGCAGTCAGTCGCTGAAGGGCAACGTGTTCAGTGTCATACACTCTGGTGTCGGCCATGTAGAACTGGCAGATATGGGACAAGACAGGGTGCGCCAGCATGTTGTACGCGCGAATATTCTGCGCCAGGGATAATTTCAGCTCTCTGATATGGGCTACTCGTTCCAGGAGCTTACGACAGGGGGCACGCCATGATTCAGCACAACCCTCTGGGCCAAGAAATACGCCCAAGTACTTAGCGTGGGGGCCAATCCGTACCGCGTCCACGGGGATGTCAAGGTCGCGCAACCGCTGCTTGGCCATCTCAATGTCCATGTCGAGCGCGATGACCACCCAACATTTCCCCGTGTGGAGCTTCAGGCCTGTGACGATGCCAGTGTCGCCCATCCAGGTCAGAACCATAGGTATAGTAAGGCGAAGGTTTCCCGTCGCAATGCCGATGTCGTCAGCACACGCAAGAGGGAGCCCAGGGTGCGGGCGGAGTCGCCGTTGTAGGCCTCGAACGACTGGATCGAAGATTATCACGAATATCAAAGCTGAGAGTGGGCATCCTTGCTTCATTCCTCGGGTGACAGTGAAGCCAGAGAATCTTGAGCCAGCGAACAAAATGTCAACATATATGTCGTCGTACAATGATCTGACCGCACGAACGATGTGCCTGGGAACGCCCATGGCTTCCAAGACCCCGAAGATCCAGGAGTGCAACACACTCGGGAACGCAGCGGCGATGTCCAGGAGCATGAACCCTGGGAACTCGAGGCCCCGATGGCAGGCCCACTCCAGAACCCAGGACTCCAACTCAATCACGTTATCAAGCATATTACGTTTCTTGATGAACCCGCGCTGGCACTCCGCCACGGAGAACCTGGCCTGGATCTGGAACGGGTCGGCCAGGGCAGCGGAGACGAGCTTGTTGTCTGTGTTGCTCAGAGTGAGGGTCCTAGTCTGACGGGCCTCGAGAACAGTCCTAGGACCAGAATCGCTCACTTCAACCTTGGGAGGGAACACGAGCTGACCGAAGTTGAATCCAGAAGGTGGGCGGGCTCCACGAAGTAGAGCACGATAGGCCGCATACAGGGCCGACAAAACGGTTTCTCCCCCGTTTTTCCACCCGCTATATGGCACCCCGTCAGGTCCTGCAGCAGAGTCTTTACGGTGAACAACGATAGAGCGAAACTCATGTTCCATGAGTTCCCATTGGATACCAGGAGAGACCGATTGAATCTCACTCCGAAGGGCAGCAAGCACCGCAGGATCAGGCTCAGGGAGAACACCAGGACACCGATGAACTGCACCCCAAAAGTTAGCTAGGTTGCGGGCACTCTGTTCGATACTGGCGGGGGCCTCGTCCACTGGGTCAGCCACCGAGAAGATCGCAAGCTTCCGACGTTTTACCGACCACGACCGACATATAGCTTGGAGCCTGGCACGACGAGCCCCATCGATTCTCCCAAGAGAGTCCGTACACTCAGTGTGGATCATATCATTAATCATCGTAGAGTTCAGCTCCCGAATATAT